CTAAAACCCAAATCAAGAGTTGTCTAGTTTGTAATGAAATGGAAAAGTGTGAACTGTTCGATTCATCATATGATGATGAGTTGTATAATCACTGTTTGATGACAGCTATGTATTAATATTTATAGTTTAGACCCTGTCCATTACTATACAGCCTCCAGTTTAAGTTGTGATGCAATGCTAAAATATACAAAAATAGAATTAGAATTTTTAACAGATTATGAGAAAATTGCATTTATTAGTTTAGTTATCAGGGGTGGTGTATCTCAATGTAGTAATCGTTATGCTAGAGCTAATAACAAACACATGGGGATTATGATGCAGGGAAACCAAATTCATACATAACATACTTTGGTGCCAACAATTTATATGTTTGGGCTATGTCTCAATATCTTCCTAATGGTGGATTTGAATAGGTAAATCCGAATACACATTTTAATGTGTCTGAGACATCGGACTTCGGTTTTATTTTAGAAGTTGATTTGTAATATCCAGAAGAACTTTGTGATTTACATTTGGACTTTCGTTTATGCTCAGAAATATTTGTGTAGGCAATACTAATGAGAATAAACTAGTTCCAAATTTAAATTACAAAGACAAAAATGTAATTTTTTACAAAAATTTAAAGCAGTGCATAGAAATGGGGGTTAAATTAATTCAAATTCATAGGGTTTTAAAATTTAAACAGTTTCTCTGGTTGTAAATGTACATAGATCTAAATACAAAATTAAGAACGTTAGCAAAATTAGATTTTGAGAAAGATTTTTATAAATTAATGAATAATCCAGTCTTTGGTAATATTATGGAGAATATTGAAGGAAGGGTTAATATAAAATTAGATACACACTGGGAGAACCAGGGTAAAGCTTTAGATGCTCAAGATCTAATCGCTAAACTACAATTTCATTATCTTACATATTTTCGGAAGACCTAGTTGCGGTTCTATTGTGAAAAAAAGTTAATATATGTATAACAAATCAATTTATGTAGGGTTTTGTATTTTAGATATTTCAAAACATTAATGTATGATTTTCATTATAACTGTATGATTAAAAAGTTAAATAAAATCAAATTCTTATATACATATAGTTTTATATTTCATATATTTACAGACAATTTTTACACCGATATAAAACCTGACCTTTCCTCATACTTTGATACCTCAGATTATGATACAAATAATATTTTTGAGTATCCAAAATTATATAAAAAGAAATTAGGTTTTTTCAAAGATGAAAATAATGGTAAAATCATGAAAGAATTTGTAGGTTTCAGGTTGTTAGGTTTCATCTTCCCAATCTTTTAAACCTCCACCACAATGGAAACAATTGGTCCTGTCTGCATGGCCAGTATAAAAAAACCGGCTTCTGCAAGTTCTTCAGGCTATTGTCGCATAACGAGAGGCCAATCTTCAAAACTGAGCTGAGCGGGTTGGCTTGATTTTGAACTGAAAAATGGATATTCAGCTCTTGAGTACTGCATATCCTTCTCTTTTTCTTCTCCACTCAGTGTTGTAGTTTTGCTATTCAATGATGTGTTCTGTACACGTATGCCACACTTATCTCTTCCTTCTGCTCTTGTCTTCCTTTTCAAAAACGCCATTTCTTCATACATAAAACATTTTTAACGCACAGATTTTCTAATGAGTAAAACAGTTATACAGTAAAGTATCTTTACAATAAAGTTCACAAAGAGTATTTAAATTGGGAGCTCCTAAGCAACTTATATCCATGATAGTATTACTTTCATTACAAATATCTTGTACACGTTTAATTTTTTCGCATCCTTTTAAAAATCTTTTTAGTTTTCAAATATGTCTTGATAATTCTGTAAAACTCTCTATAATCAACAAGCCCTTAGTCCATCGATACCGTCTGTGCCTTTTAATCAAGCGATAGTGAAGTGAATGGGTAAGGAGATTTAATTAGGAATATTTTGGTGAACTCTAGAGTGGCTATAGCAAATTCTTTTACTATAAATTCATTTTTGCTATTTTTGAATCCTTGAAGATCTACAATTATTGTATTGCTATTCATGATATTTTCTTAACGATATTACTCAGTGATTTGTATTCGAATGTACAATCGTTTAAAATCAAGCAATTAGCGGTTGTCTGATCTGGTATTTCTTAGTCTTTTTCGATTTCAACTCTCACATCGATCGAACGTTTTAACCAAACGACCATACACTGACTGTATGACTCGACTATGTATATTGACTTTTGTATGTGGAGACTTTTACCCACTAAACACCGCCTTTTAGGGACTGGCTTAACGGTCTAACTGGAGATCTCTAAGCCGTATACGAACGCGACCCTCCTTGGGAGAAAGGAGGGCGCAAGCGGCAAAAAGCCGCTTAGACGACTGCCTAACTAAGACAGATTAAGGGATGTGTTATGTAGGCTTGGCCTGAGCCGCCAGGAGGCAGTTCAGGTCAGCCGAAAACTTGTTGGGGGAGTCCGAGAGAGAGTTTCTCGATCTGCGCACACTATAGCGAGTGTGGATAGGGGCTGCATAGGCAGCTGTCTCACGAATGAGATGATTTGGGTGGATATAATGACTGCAGCAGCTCAGTCTTATATAGTACCAGTAAATTATATCTAATCTAAAGCATTTCCGCAGTGAAACTAATAGTAACTTTATGAGTCGACAAGCTTATCTCGCATTCTTTCGTGTTGCGACTTGCTCCAATGACTGTCATTGTTAAAAAGTGTTTTTTTTTTTTACTTTTTCACTTTCTGCTATTGTCTTAAATATTGTATACAACGGCGTTTGTGTTTTCTTAGATTCCTTATTAGTCTTCACATGATATTTACTCCTACTAAATTTACTCCTAATTAAAAATACGATTTTAATCTTTACTTAATATTTAATCCTCGTGGAAGCATGTTTCCAATGATCAGTAGTTGGAATCTTGGATAGCTTCTTCATATCATACATTTCAATTTTTATGAGATGTGTCGTTCGGTTTCCGTCGTTAGAATTAGTAGAATACACTACCGTGCTGTATATGTGCTACGGTCGAAGAAAACAGCTTCCTCTTTTTTATTTTTTATTCGGCTTCAAAAAAATTATGAATCGATTGCAATTTTCTTTTTCCACCATCCATCTACCATGTGTTATTATTAATGACGATGTCATCACTCTCTTCTTGAGGGGAGAGTGGCGAGTAGTAATACTGTTTATAGCTATTTTCGTCGAATCTGAATGATTTCTGCTACAACACAGTTATCATGTTAATATTAATTTGTTTACCCTTAATCACACACATACACACACACACACACACGTAGGAAAACAACAAAAAAAATCAAGTTTGTCAATAGAATAAACACTAACGTCCATGACCATTGATGCGTTGAAGTAATACAAACATAGGATTGGTAGATTCACTGCGGTCAAACGACCATACACTGACTCCGTGACTGCAGCTGCTCGGTGTTATATAGCAGCAGAAAGTTATATCTAAACCAAAGCATTTCCGCAGTGAAACTGATGTATATCTACTAATATGAGTAACTTTATGAGTCAACAAGCTTATCTCGCTTATAATATGCAATTTGGACACAGATGATAAACCAGGCTCACGTTGGATATCTTTTTATATCGTTACGAATGGCATCGGTCAACATTTTGATTCATATGGACGATCACCTGCACGATATCATCTTTAAAAAGGAATTGTAAAAGATGCTACTGGAATGTTGAAAGTATTCAAAATAAGTAGACTTCAGTTTGCGGTGAATATTGCGTAATGTATTTGCTATATAAGTTTCAGGGATGTTCAATGCATAGTTTTACGAGCATATTTACAGGAAACGTACTGTACAACGATATTTTAGTGGATGAAATATTTCGCTCTTATTTTATAGATAATAAGCTATAAAATTTCGGAAATGAAAATTGTAACAAAATTAAGTGTTTCACTGGTGATTCAGAAAAGCGTGTTAGTTACGAACAAAGAAGTATTTAACACAATAGCACTAAGCAGGGTAACGAGTAATAGATAAGAGAAGCAATGACGATGTTCAAGGAACAATAGATAAGAGAAAAAGTTGCACACAATAGAACGCTAATGAGGGTGCAGGCCCACCGGGTATCAATTAGATATGAGTTAATTGATCTGCATGCCGGAACCACGCATCCTACGCAAAAACGGACGGAACGGACTGCAGATTCGTGATCATAGCATGCCAAAACCATTATCTTGTTATCTCCCTAGTTTTGTTGCTTGTACAAGGTAACCACTAATTAATTCTTGGCGATATACGCTTTTACAATAAAATCCCAGAAAATATAAAAAGGCTTTTAGCAAAAACAAAAGCAAAAACTTTATTAAACTAAGTTTGTATAAAAAGGGTTATTATAATATCTATGAATGATATTAACCTGTGGGAATGAGGTGATCGCTACCAAACTATTTATAATTTTTGTTGTATTGTTAACTGTGTAACATACGTCATAATCTGTTTCTTTTATAATAAAAATCCTGCTGGGCTTCTTGCTGATACTTCCTAGGTCAGAGGTTCTTTATGAACCAGTGCTAATTAAACAAAAAAGTGACTTTCAATAAGTACTATTTATAATCTATATTGAAAAAAAGCTTTTGTTTCTGTTTCTTTTACAGAAGGATCTGTTGTTATTTTTGGAGTATGAAGAGTTGGTTTTTTATAAACTGAGTTTTCTATATTAATTATATATCACTTAAAATTATATACGTTTTATATTAGTTTGTATAGTTTGTGATCATTTTTAATATTATTATCGTAAGATTTATTTCAGAATGAAAAGGAGGATTCTATTGCATTCAGTTCGACCTGTAAGGATAGGTGTCTCAATTAATTTATAAATAAATAATAATAATAATTCGTAGTGTAAAATGTTACGAACTGATAAAGATGTTTTTATGAACAAAGTCTTGAATATCATCTCAAAGTACTGTTTCACTCAAATCTTTTTACAATAAGTAGCATGGTATTAATATTACGTATTTTATCTTTTCAGGGATAATGTTGTTGATCATCCAAGTTGTCTCAATTACTCAAACAGTCGCCCAAGTTAGTCTGGGATGTAACCACGAGTATGATAATATTAATTTTATTTACAACATAAACTGCACAGGAAATATGGATCCTTATGTTCAAAACTTTGCAGAATTACATACATACAGGAATTGCCCCAGTTGTATATATTATAATGGAATGCATTTGACACCAGTTCATATAGTTTACAGAAGAATATTACAAGATAACAATTATGATGAGCAAATATCTATTGGGAATGATCCCAACAACTATGTCACAAAAGCAATTGTTCAACTCGATTTAAGTTACAATCAACTTAAACTTCACCCAACATTAAATTCTATGCCATACTTGAAGGTTTTGAATATATCTCATAATAATTTGATTGTTGCTACATTATCGAACAATATGAAATTTAAATACTTAACTTCTGTCGATTTCTCATATAATATAATTAGGTTAATTGAAGTTAACCAGGCCGAGTACGCTTATGTTGAATTAATTGACCTTGATTTATCTCACAATTTAATAGAAGAAATACCAGAATCAATATTTCATTCGTTTTCTAAAATGCGATATTTAAATTTAAGAAATAATCGTTTGCACACTTTAAATATACTATTTTTTGAAGGAATTAATAACTTACAAAATTTACAGCTTGGTTATAATGAAATAATCGATATGAACTCATCCTTTTTAAGGTTTAAATATCTGCAGGAATTATCTCTTGAACATAATAGAATCGAAAGAATTTTGAGTCGAGATTTTCAAAACTTTTTTAACCTGAATAAATTAGACTTGAGTAATAATAACATATCGAATATAGAAAAGGGTAGCTTTGATAAAATGACTTTTCTGAATACATTAGATTTAAGTGATAACGTTTTATTTGCTATTGATAAAGAGGTATTCAATAACACACGTAATTTACAGTACGTTGACTTATCAAGAAATAAGCTAAAACATCTACCAAAAGAATTGTTTAAAGCTAAAAATATGTCATTCTTTTCTATACAAGATAACATTATAGAAGGCGAACTTGTTTCAGGAATGTTCATTGGTCTTAGCAACATCATTGAGCTTGACATATCGAATCAATATTTAACGTCTATTGAAGACAATGCATTTTTGGGTTTAGACAATCTAGAAAAGTTGTTACTGAATGATAATGAAATTAAAAGTTTATCCAACAAGTCATTTGGATATTTAAGAAACGTAAAAATAATCGATCTTTCGAATAATAAACTCACTAAGATAAATTTTGATAAAATCGACCTATTGAATTTGCAATCCCTATCTTTAAGAAATAATCAGCTGAAAGATATAAAACAGGAAGATTTTAATAAATTAAATCATCTCCAATTTTTGGACTTATCAAACAACAATATTTCAAAAATAGAAAGAAGTTCATTCAAAGAACTACAAGAATTAGAGAGATTTGAAATATTAAATAATCCACTATTAACTTTTTTGGATTCAAATACATTTGACGGGTTAGTTTTATTACCAAGTCTTGATATTTCTCTCTGCAATCTAACAACAATTAAAAACAACACATTTGAAAACATGAGGTCTTTAAAATATCTTAATATCTCCCACAGTTCAATTAAAGAACTTGAATTTCATTCTTTTTTTCAAACTGGACGCATAGAGATAATTGACTTGTCGTATAATAAACTTACGAATTTTGTTGTAAATGCAACTGATTTACAAACTTTACGAATACTTTCTTTAAATAATAATTTATTGACTGAAATTTCTTCTAATTTACTTCAAAATTTCCCTAATCTTTTCAAAGTAACATTTTCTCATAATCGGCTGCATGAAATTCATAATAAGGCATTCCTAGGACACAAATCAATACATCACATAGATTTATCATTTAATCCTATTATAACCTTAAAACTGATAGTTTTTGCCGCATTAAACAATTTACGCAGTCTTAATCTTTCGGGAGTCGTGAGTAATATAAATTTCAATGATATGAATAATACTGTGCTCACAGATTTAGAGTTATCCTACGCGCGAATACCAAATATAACTATTCTACATCTTAATATCCTAAAAAACTTAGAAAGGTTGAAAATAAATAACAATATAATATCAGAAATCGATAAAAACGCATTTTTTAACGTGAGCTGCTTACAGTACCTTGATTTAAGTTACAATATGATAAAATACGTTCAGCCTGGTGCCTTCAAAAGTAATTATGGATTGAAATTTTTAAATATGTCTCATAATTTTCTCGCCAACATTAATTATGGAATATTTCATGGGTTAATAAGTTTAAATATTTTGGATTTATCATTCAATCAAATTGAAAGCTTGGACTTGGAGTATGATAAAATTATGGGAGCAGAAAATTTAAGCACTTTAATAGTCGACAACAACAAAATAAGTAACATCAATATACCATTTTCCCACACTCATTTACCGAAGTTAAGTATAGGAGATAATCCTATATCGTGTAGAAAAATTCTTGAATTAGTACAATATAGGTATATTGAAATAACGGCAATAAGACCAGATGTACACAGTGAAAACATAAAAGGTATAACATGCAATAATCAGTATACATCAACAAGAGACACATTGTCTACAAAAGAAGAAACTAACTCCGTGAAAATTCTAAATGAATTAAGGGGCATCTTGATAAATTCCAGTACATCAAAAACATATGAACCTGTAATATTTGACGGTAAAAACGATTTTGCTAATATTAGTGAACGAATTCAAATATACAATAATAATGTCATGAATCAATTATCACGTCTTAATGATGCTGCGCTATCAATTGATAAAGATAGTAATCGTACTAACTCTTTGCTGGAAAGAATTTTAAAAGTGATAGTTACAGTGCACACTACAATAAAGCCCTCCGTAAGTCCTTTAGTTAAAAATAATGCCACTTTTGATAATATTATTTCACATATAAATCAAATAAAGCAAGAATTGCAGAATGATTTAGGTTTTCAAAAAGAAAGCATTATGTCTGAGATCGATAGTAAGATATCGCTAGCTATGGCTTCAAAAGAACCTATTAAAGAGAAATTATCTACCCCTGAAGGGAGTTTAGCTACACAAAATAAATTCAACTTTATTGAGATCTGTGTTTCTTTGACTTTAACAATATTAATAGCTTTGTTATTATTTATTGCTTATAAACGCTATAATGGAAGTTGTACATCATGGCGTTCTACATCGTTTAGTAGGCAACACATTGCGGAATCATTGGAAAATTCAAACTTGTAAATAGTTTTCATAAATATCATCAAATATCAAGTTTACACGGTCGATATGATCTCTCTACATCTTTGTGATTTTCTTTCTAACTTATATAAGAATAACAAGGTGACGAATTGTAAATTTTCAAGTCTTCTTGAGTATTTACTATCCTCATCGACTATATACGATACGTACGTTATATATATGCGACGACTTCTTGAGAAGTAGTAATACTAAAAAAATTTGAGAATAAGGCCTCTTGATAATACATTATAAATAGTGCGTTATGTTGTTAGTATACAATGAAAATGTTACGTATTTAATTTTTTTTAAACATAAAAGACGATAATATAGAAATTATTTTTTTTGTTCATTTTTCAATCATCAGATGAAAGTTATTATCTAAATTATGATCTGACTAAATATTAATATGAAACAATGGAAGTGAGTATTTTGTTCACGCATATGTAATTTTTAACTTGTTTTGCTTTTATAATATATTAAATAACATTTATCCGACGATTCAGGAATCTGCGTTTATTCTAATCAACTACAACTTTATCAAAACAGAATAAGAGAGTTATTACTGACAGCATTTTATCATTGAGCTGACATTCACCTTTTTTAGTATAAGAAAGGGGCAAACGAGCCTGCGGCTCACCTGACGGTAAAGTAACTACCGCCATCTACGAAAATAAAACATCATTTTTGAACACCAAATCTAAAATAGTATACTTGCAGAGAAACTTTCAAGTAAGTGTACAAGCAAATGGTGAAAAAAATTAATTTAAGAAAATCTCCAAAATTCTGTCCTTTTTATTTTTTAAATTCAAAATGCGCGGTAAGACATTATTTTAACTGATTTTATTGCGCACGCTCACATTCGTAAGGGTCGATCGGTAGGCAAACACGTTTTTGCCCATTACACACGTTTAATTTGGGATAATTTCCAATAAAAGTAGAAGCCTTATTTACTCGTAGTTTCAAAAGCTGCTATAACAGTGTATCATTATTTAGATATTTTAACTTAAATTAAAAATTTGACTACTCTTTAAAAATAACCCTGTATTTTACAGTACATTACAAATATTTACTAAAACGAAATGCTGTACCTAGTTATTGTTGTGATATTTATAATTACATAATTACATAAATCTGAGAAGTAATAAACCAAGGTATTTTATTACTTCTCAGATTTATCACATAAAAAGATAAAATCAGCTCAATAGTTTTTATTCGTTCAACATTTCCAATGTACATAGAAAGTTTATAAACATTAAAATTTGTAGAAAGGTTAATCTCGTATTCATACTTGTATTTTGTTGTTAATTGGGGTCTTAGGCTATATCTATTAATTAAATTTTTCTTTACATTCACTTAGACATTATAAAATAATGTGATACAAGAAAAATAATATAATCTTATATAAATATAACATTTCACGATAATGTTATAAATTCTTTATTTTCTTTAATAAAAGTTAAAAACTAATGTTTGTTTTTTACTTCTAATTACATCCTCATCGATATTACCCGCAGGGACAAGTTCCAAATATTTTTGGTATCCACTGCGCAGGATATAAAAGTGCCGTAAAAATATGACATAATATGAATATAATTCTATAATGTCCGCCAGACAGAATTTCTGCCACGGCGGCCTGCCTCAACGGAGGTTAGCCATCGGCGGAGGACAGGAGTATAGTGCCCAAGTGCATGCGCAAGCACAGGTGCACTCTCTATTCCCTCACTCTCATAATCCGATGGGACGGTAAACTGACACGAGCGGAGAGAGATCAGGTGCAGGACCAACGGCTTTACGTGCTTTCCGAGGCACGGGGGTGAGACACCGCCAATTTCCTGACTCCGGGCAACTACTTAAAATTTCTTGACTGAAAAACTCAATAATTAATTTTTTGGCCCGACCCGGGATTCGAACCCAGGACCTCATGATCAGCAGTCGCACTACTATAACCACTAGACCAACGAAGCAGTCAGAATAATATGTTGATATGTTGCTGTGTAGAGACGGCGTAAGAATATGAACTTCCCCTTGGCATTGGTTGAGGAATATGAACTTCCCCTTGGCATTGGTTGAGGAATATGAACTTCCCCTTGGCATCATCACATGGTGTCGCAAGAGGCGACAGAGGGGATTTCAAACAAGAGATGAGTGGCAACATCTTGCTGCTAAATCATTTAAACAGTTATAACCTTTGACAAAAAGTAAAAAAGTAAAAACCGACTGCAAATTGCTAACAAATAAGTCGTTGACTTGCTGTCTTTACAGGTGGAATTTTTTCTCCAAATTTACATGGGAGCGTGCTTTGATTTTATACCTGTCATAATCAAAGCGAGCATCCTTGACATACTTACTATTATTTAATCTGTTATATAATCTAATTAAGAAAAAAAATCGTGAAAATCACTTCCTTACTTGCATAATATCATATTATGAAATTTCTTAAACAATAGTCCAATATGAAACTTTTTACCCTATATTCCACCCTTGGGGACGGAATGTTTTCTTCTAAATTTAATGGGACCACCCTCGTGGTCAAGCCCATTTAAATAAAAAGAATTATTAATAAATCGGTTTCCAATTTGTGAAAGTATCGCGTAACAAACATACAAAAAAAGAACACACCGGAATTGAGAACCTCCTCCATTTTGAAATCGACTAAAAAATAATCAAAAATTGCGATTCGGTGATGATGATAATGATTTGACAACTTGGGAAGAACTAGAAGTAGAATTTAATTGAAGAGTTCTTACGGTATGGAATCTTTTTTTGAATATTCTAAGATAGCGTTTAACTACTTTCGCATGATAGTAAATGGTGGTGCAGTCAAAAATGGTAACCTTGCACTGACTTAAAAAAAGTCTGTTCACTCTTGCCTTGAAGGCACCCTTATTGTAGAAAGACAGACGCTGGTAACTTATTCAACTCATTTGCTGTACGCATGAGGAACAATGAATCAAGCCGTTTGGTCCAAATGCGTGGTAAGTCGACAAAGAAAGATTGGCCGAACGTCTGGTTGTCCGATGGTGAATTCGGAAGGAAGGAATTAAGTTATGTAATTCCTGCGCACACTCTCCGAAATACATCCTGTAGAACATCCCAAGGCTGGCTACTTTACGGCTCTATTCGAGGCTAGTAAGAATCATTTTTACCAGATTTGGGTCAACAATGAGTTTCTTAGCACGCCTTTCCAATGAATCCTAAGCTGCTTGGTAGCATTTTGCAGCACCAGCCTTATATATGATAGCAATCATCGCATATTTGCAAGGACTCCTAACTTCCTTGTAGTTTCTTTCACTTTGGATTTAATGAACAGCCCTAATTTAGGTTTGAGGAAATCACAAAACCCCCAACATCAAAAGAAGGTCGGTGTATTTCAGTGATACATTTCGGAAACAAGGAGCCAACATGAGCTAGTTCCATTTTGCAGTGAAAATCCTTTTTTAAATTTAGTCCAAAATTTCCTTGCTGAACAAACCTCACAAAAGAAAGTCTTTGAGTAAACATGTAACCGTCTTTATTCCGTGACTCGGTATTCAGCATTATAATTAAGGTATGTGACTATTTAGCCACGATTTAATAGGATATTGTTGTAAATGTTGATTTACCACATGTTTAGCGGTTGAAGAAAACATTTCGAGCCAACCTACTAATCCGGCAACATGCATTGTGGGGCCTTGCGGTGGGTTCTTCCATGCTTTTTATACATACATACATATATATATATATATATATATATATATATATATATATATATATATATATATATATATATATATATATAACACCAGCTTATAGTAAAAAATATCCGTATGAACATATAATAAAATAAATATTTGAAGAAAAAAGAAAATAAATGTCAGTAAGTAACTACAACACCAGGGGAACTGCAAAGAGCCTGCTCCTATTTAAAAAAAAAATAGTCGTAGTCTTTTTCTCTTGGAGATCCGTTAGTCGTATTAGTATTGGAAAATAGCTGGTGGTAGCCGATTCCACAAAGAATTCGTGCGAGGAAGAAAATCTTTGGTACATCGCACAGTGGTGGACCGATTAATAAAAATAAATATATAATAAACTTAACAAAATATCTTTTAGTACCTACTAAGAGGAGTAAACCATTTCGTGGCGATGCAAAAATATTTACTACCCACGAGAACACGGGAAGATCCGGGGCGAATTACTCGTCGAGACGCCTTGCACTTCTCTACAAGCACACAAACGATTTTTGGACTCCACTGTTACCTGTGACGAAAAATGAATTATATTTGACAATCGCAAGCGCTCAGCAAGTTGCTGGGATCCTGGTTCAGCACTTACACAATTTCTTAAACGAAAACTTATCCCTTGAAAAGTGATGCTCACTATTTGGTAGTCATACCAAACGGGATATGTACCTACCTATTACTGCAGATGTGTACTGTAAAGAACTGAACACAATGATGGAGGAGCTCGCACGTTTTCAACAAGCTTTGGTCCCGCTGCTCCTGCACGACAACCCGCAACCTCATACTGCATAACTGACGATCTACAAGTTACAAGAGCAGGGGTTGGAAGCTCTCCGTCATCCGCCGTACTCACCAGACCTTGCGCCTACAGACTTCTACTTTTTCCAGGATTTGAATAACTTATTGTTGGGAAAAAAATTCAATACCCGAGAGGCAGTACAAAATGCCTTTGAAGAATTTGTTGCCTGCCGTCCAACTGATTTCTTTAAGAAGGGCATCAATAAACTGCCACTGCGTTGGCAAAGATGCATCGATTGCATGGGTGATTACTTTGATTAATAGAAATAAAAAATGTAGAATCAAAATACGTTAACTTATTTCATAAAAAACGGCAATGTCATAGGTAAAGAACGAATATTATGTATAGACATTAAGCATGAAACTTGATAACAGCAAAGCACAAAGTTGCTTATCTAAACTGTCGACGACACATTCCATTGTTTGTATTGCAAAGGATCACCATACATTTTGATCTATTAAATATAAAGAGGATTATCTTGCAAA